CATGTCTTTTTCAACAAGGACACTTGTTATTATATCTTTTAAGAGTTGAGGATCAATTGTATTGTATTCACTCTTGATTGTATAGGAATATCATCGTCATCACTGTTTCTACACATTTAAAAAAAAATCAATTAAGAAATATATAGCTCCATAATGTAAGTGACAATATGTGATTTATTTTTGAACATTTTTTAAAATAGAATCATATTCTAAAATAGAATCATCAAAGGTTTATGATGAATGAACCATATGTGATTTATTTTTGAATATATTTTGACATGTGAATGCACATACATTAATATATGTGTGAATATACACATATCCAAATGAACTTCTATATATCAAATTCGAATAAGCATCTATCAATATTAGAGCTAAAATGTATGTAATACAATATTCAAATGACGCTCATGAGCATATAATTTAATATATGAAGTTAAACATGTATTATTATAGTCTATGTGGATATTTTCAATATGAGAATGAACATGTACGTATTTACATTCAAATAAACATATGTTTAAATACCAGTAAACATTCATTAATATGTAAAGATCATAAACAAAATTAAGGTAATCTTCTCTCAATAATGAACCCTAGTAGATGTAAGGTAAGAATGTAAATGATCATATACTAATATCATAACAAACATCTATCAAAATGAAAATGAACATTTGTTCAGCAACCGTCTTCTCCGACGGAACCTTCGAAGTGTTCTTTTCTGTTTCGTTTCTACAAAAATACCACCAAATATAGTAGATTGTAGTCTATTTTGCACAAAAATAAGTGTAATCATAGTAGATTTTGTTTTAGAATATCAAAACACAAATTAAAATATAAAATCTAGGGTTTACACTCAAAATTCTACTAAAATGAACAAAGTCTTACTTTTCTTTTTTGGAATCTAGTTGCGATTGAAGAAATTAATCTCGAATGTCAGACATTTTTGGAACTTTTGGTGCAATTTGCAGTAATTTTGAAGCAATTTCTAGTGAGTTTCTTGCGAGTTTTTGGTTTTGATGAGAGAGAATTTGTCGAAAATGGATTTGAAATGAGGTTATTGATTTTTTTTTTTTTTTGCAATTACCGTGGTTAGTTAGTGGGGGGTAAGTGCAGCTGTGCATGTTGTATGGTTAGTGGGGTGTGGTAAGGGTTTTATTGTAATTTCAGGGAGGGGGTAGATATTAATGGCTAAAAGGGGGTGTAGTGAATAGGAATTAAACTAGTTAACACAATTTATGAAGTATAGAGCACTCACCTCTATCTTTGTTTATATAATAAATATTCATACAAAAATACATTGCTTAAACATCAGACCACGCTACCACTTGGCGAGATTAATTTCACAAGATTGGGGGAGCATGCGCACATCATGCTCCAACGACTAGTAAGCATAAAACATAGTAAGATTATCTACTACCTCCGTTAACTATTATTTGCAATAAAGGAATATTTTATATCTCACAAATAATACCCCTTTGTTGCAAATAATAGTTAACGGAGGTAGTAGATAATTAAGGATAAAATGGCTTGCTTCGGGAGATGCTAACAACAAATTCTTTTTTGCTTCTGTTAAGCAACGAAGACATATTAACAGAATTACATCTTTGTACAATGTTGCCGGTATTCTGCTTTCTGACCCTGCTAGCATTTCAGATGAAATTGTTGGCTTTTGTAAGAAGCTTTTAGGTTTTGCTGCAGATGCTATTCATATGCCTTATCTTTCTGCCCTTAGTTCTGGGACTAGACTTTCTAGAGATGCAGCTGATTCTCTTTGTGCTCCTGTGTTCTATTTATGAGATTGATAGTATTGTCAAAGCTTTTGATGATACAAAAGCACCAGGCCTTGATGGGTGTAATTCTTTCCTCTTTAAAAAGTCGCCACATATCATTAAGCATGATATTTACACTACTATTTTGGATTTCTTTGACACTGGAAGAATGGCTCGTAATATTAATATTACACTTGTTACTCTAGTCCCAAAAATTGAGAATGCTTCTCATGTGAAATCTTTTTGACCGATTGCTTGTTGTTCTGTTATATACAAGATAATATCTTAAATCATTACTAACATGTTGCAGAAAGTGATTATTGAGGTGGTTTGTGATTGTCAAGCTGGGTTTGTCCCGGTTAGACATTTTGCAGACAATATTCTTCTTGCCACTGAGTTGATTAAAGGTTATGGCAGAGCTCATAATTTCCCAATATGCATTTTAAAGGTGGATCTAAAGAAAGCATATAACTTGATAGAATGGGCCTTTTTGAAAATTGTGTTGCAAGAGTTGGATTTTTCTATGAAATTTATAGGCTAGATTATGGAGTGCTTAGCTACAGTCTCTTACTTAATTTTGATCAATGGTTTTTCCCTTTTAAGCCTTTCATGGCAAAAAAGGGTCTACGCTAGGGAGATCCTATGCCTCCATTCCTTTTTGCTATTGGAATGGAGTACCTCTCTTGTTGTATTGAGTTAGTTGTCTTCCAACCCGGATTTTAATCATCATCCTAGATGTGAGAGGCTCAATTTGACCCACATGGTGTTTGCAGACAATCTTCTTAGGTTTGCTCAAGCTAACAAGGAGTCCGTTGGGACTCTTAATGATGGCTTTTATGAAATTTACCAAAAAAGGGTGCTACCTATTATGTGCAACAAAACTATTTCTTTCCTAATATAGTAACTTTTTATGATAAAATGACCAAAATACCCTCATTTAAAAATTATTAACACATAATACTACACATAATTACAAATTATTATAACTCTAATCTAAGGCCCTGTTCTTTTGAGCTTATGGGCAGAGCAGAGCAGAGCAAAGCAGATTTCAGCAGAGCAGAGCAGATTGAAGCAGAGCAGGGCAGGGCAGAGCAGAGCAGGGCAGAGCAGGCAGAGCAGAGCAGATTGAAGCAGTTATTTTTAAGTACTATTTTTAAGCAGAGCAGAGCACAGCAGAGTAGAGCAGATTTCAGCAGAGCAGAGCAGAGCAAAGCAACTCTAAAGAATGGGGCCTAACTTAATCATCTAAGATTTCCCCCCAAATAAATCAGATTAATCATATACCCACCAACTCTCTCCTCCATCTTCATCTCTAATTTTAGATCTCCATCTTCACCATCATCATCATCTTCTTCGATCATCATCTCTTAGGTCACCATCATCATCATCTCTCATCTTCCTCCCTCTTCGTCTCTCATCTCTCATCTCTCATCTCTCATCACCTTCTTCATTATCGTCATTTATCATCTTAGATCGTGGGTTGATGTTGGTGGTTTGTGGGTGGGTTCGATAGATTAGGTGGAAGTTATGGTTCGTGGCTTATTTTTGTGGTTTGTGGGTGGGTGTTATTCGCGGATGGTTGTATCAATTCGTGGGTGGGTGTCGGTGGTGGTGGTTCTGGGCGGTTCGTGTGGGTAGTTTCGTGAATGGGTTTGGTTTTTTGGGTTTTAGATCTGGTGGTTCTAGGGTGGTTTTCGTTGTTTTTTTGTGGTTTTCGTGATTCTTGGGTGGATTTCGGTGGTTTGTGGGTGATCGCCGGTGCGTTGCGGGTGGCGTAGCTGGTGGTTTGTGGGTTTTGGGTGGCGTGTGGTGGTTGTTCTGGGATGTTCTCTTTAATTGTAATTGTTTTTTTTTAAATCAATGTAGTTAATTACATGCCCATTACTTTCAATAATCATGTTTAAGAAGTCTTGTCTAGGAGTCCGCGTTGACCCCCTTTCTTGCAAATAACCGTTAACAGTGGTAGTATTTATTTTGCTGGTATTTCTAATGATGTTAAAGAAGATATTCTGGGAATTGTTAATGTTCCTATTGGTGAGCTGTTATTAAGAAACTTGGGAGTCCCTTTATCTTTGAAAAAGCTCAGTTACTCTCAATGTAAGCCGATTGTTGAAAAGATAATTGCTAGAGCTAAATCTTGGACTAGCAAATTCATGAGTTATGCAGGTGTATTGCAGCTTATTAAGTCCCATCCTTTTCGGAATGCAGACTGCTTAATGTCAAATTTTTGTCATGCCAAAAAAGATTATCACGGAAGTTCAGTCTTATTGTTGTGGACTTATTGCTGTGGACTGGGGGTATTGACATGTCTAGATGAGCTCTCGAGGATTGGGAAAGAGTGATGCTCCCAAGGTCGCTGGTGGCTAGAATAAAATGTTCAACTTTGGAATAAAGCTGCTATTGCAATATTTTTATGGGCTCTTACTCGTAAAAAGGACAAGCTTTAGGTGAGACGGGTTGATAGCTGTTATACTAAAGGTAAGGATCTGTTTACTACTCCTATTCCTTGTTCTTGGGCTTTGAAGAAGATTATGCATAGTAGAGATATCATTCAGAGATGCTAATTGGGATTCTGTCGCGACTAAAGGTAGATTCTCAATTGGCAAACTGTATAAGCAGCTGCAGGAAACTTTTGAGAAGGTGCCTTGGAGAAGAGTAAACTGTAATTCTAAAGCTAACCCAAAGAGTCTCTTAATTCTTTGGTTAGTTGCCAAAACAAACTTGCTACTGCAGATAGGATTATTAATTGGGGTGTTCAGTGCTCCATTCATCGTGTTCTTTGTCAGTCTGGTATACCAGAATCTATTGACCACCTGTTCTTTCGCTGTGACTATGCTGCTAATATCTAGCAGAAGGTCCTTCACTGCATCAGGATACAGAGAAGTAGTCTGTGTTTTAAGGAGGAGCTGCTCCTTGCTATTAATATGAGCAGGAAAACTACTACCCAAGTTGTTATCACACTGTGTGCTTTGCTGAAACAGTTTACCATGTTTGGAATCAGAGGAATACTAGAATCTTTAGGCAAAAGAATGAAGAGCTAGATATCATTGTTAAGCGTATTCTGTTCAATGTTGCTTGTAGGTGTGATGGAGATGAAAAAGTGGCTGTTATAGTTTCTTTCTTTAGTGTTTGTGCTGTATTGTCTTGCTTTTAACAGCAAGTTCCTTGGTTCTTAATAAAATTGCAAAGCAAAAAAAAAAAAAAAAAAAAAAAAAAAAAACACAAACATGATAAGCAAATCATGAGATAAAATCAACTAATTAACCAAAACATAATGAGCAAACCATGTGACAATGTCAGCTTAACTACACCTAAATATATTTACATGGACAATCCTACCCAAAAACCATGTAAACTAAACTTTTAAGGGCCATCTAGCTGCATGTATGCGCTGCAAAAGAAGAGAAATCAACAGAGAACAAATGTAGCAGAAATTAGCAATACACTAGTTTCTCGAAATGACTAGCGCTTAACACGAAACCGCTGACGGTGTAAATAATATAGAAACCTTTTTCTTCCCCATTTCCACCAGATAGGCGGTGCTACAACTCGATGTTTTCTTTTTTTAGTTTTTCCTGCAAAACACACAAAAATTATATGGATGACTAGAGATGCTTGGCACACTTGAAAACACTGTGGCCACTCCAGAGGCAAACTCGAGCCAACATGCTACACGATCCTCAAACTACCCAACTAAAGACTTATTTTATTACTAAACTGCCTCACATTAAAATTTTAATATACCAAAGATTCTAGCAACTAAGAAGATGCCAATTCACCTCATTTCTAAATTTATTTTTCTTTGTTTGGAAGAAAGGGGGGGGGGGGGGGATAGGAAATTTTGTAAATAGACTAATCTATACTGGGTTCACAAGTTTCAAACTCACTTTTGTTTCCAGCCAAGTATGATTCCCAGCATGACTGCAATTTCATGATGTTGGAAGAGAGACTTGACCAAAAGTTCGTCTGGATATTCAAAACATCCAAGACAGTTTGCATGCAAGCTGCGGAAGGTGCAATACCTTTAAATTGGTTCTCAGGTCTTTCGCCAAGCAAAACCTTCAGATATAAAACATAAATTAAATAAAATAAAATGACAAATAAATAAATAAATAAAAACTCATTTGGACATTACTAAATACTTCCATATATGTAACATTAATACTAGAGAGGCATGAAGTTACAATTTTGTGTGCAACACTGTGATGCCATTCCGATCACAAGCTTTAATGCAATCTGGCCACATATATAAATTCTTACTTTTCGATTAGGCTAAAAGGTAAATTTGAATGTCTCCTACTTTACAATGAAATAATTGATGGGAAAGTTCTAGTAAAAACAGCAGTCCAAAAATACCAGAATTGGGAAAGAATCATAAAAAAAACATTCACACAGACACACATTATATGATAACACAGATACTCAGTATCAAACTATTGATGTAGCTATAATTTACATCCACATATGGCACTGTTTCACTATATGCTTCTTGCAGCATTTAATAGTGCACAAAAGTGCTCATTTAATAATAAATTCACTAATTTCCATATTCTAATTATCCAAAACCAGCCAAGAATCTTTGAAGAGCAGGTAGCTTAATGTTTTATACTTCATTTATTTGATTTAAGCTAAACAACAAATATTATAGAAATCAAAATCAAACAAATCTCATTTTTAAGACGCATTAATTTGTATTACTTCCACAGGCAGTTTGTCTTCTCAATTACTTCATGAAAAATCCCTTTGTAGGTTAGTCACAATTTATTTACGTATAAAAAATAAATTGATTTTTGTCAAAAATAAATAAAAAAAATATATAAGAAAAGGTGAAATGGGCCATGTGACGGATTGCTAGGGTTTTTCGAATGAAATTTAAGTAAATCTTGTTGTTGCAAAGTCGCGTGGTGTTTTTTGAACCTAAGATGACATCATTGGTCAAGCCATCAGGGCAAGAGGCATTTGCAACAACTGATTTACTCTTTTTGGTACACGATTTAAATCCCAAAGCATAATAAGACTCAGAAGGGTATTAGACTATTATTCTGAATGGTCTCAGTAATTATCAGTCAAACAAGGTGCTAGGAGTCCGAATTGCACACTTCTAAGCTAGCTTATTCGTTGTATTAATGATGCGTCGTTGGAGAGGGTGGGGGTGTTTAATAAGCAAGGTGGAGAGAAGGGGAGGAGCCGAGGGGGAAGTTGATGTTTGATGTTGCTGGAAGAGAACATGGAAAACGATAAATCAAAGGGGCAACGTAGGTATGTCGGAAATTTGCTTTTAATTAGTAATGGGAGTTAAATTTGCTTTTAATTAGTAATGGGAGTTTAATAGTCCAGATGACATCAATACCAAATTCCTACCGCAACAAGTCATACAATTAACAAGGTGTCTATCATAGATAATGATTGTGGGAGGGGGATGGTAAGGGGGAGGCAGATCTCTAATTCATCAAGTACTTTACAAGCGTTTTTTCTCAAGACTGCAACAAGTTTCCGTCAGATTCTAGGGCTTTCTCAGACTTCCTTTTCCTGTGTACATCAGCTAAAAAGTATCTTTCAACATCTTAGACCCCTGAGCCTCAACAGTATTGCTATCAAAGAATAGCTAAGAATCAAACTGACTCCCATCTCAATCTCAAATAGTCTGCATGCATGCTAAAACAATCATATATACTCTGTATTTCCTTTACATTAAAAGTACCTTAATTACAGCTGTTGCAGATGACGATATTGATCGCAGATTATACCTGAAATCAGAATCAAATGAAGCATAACCATGTAACTATCATAATTTTAAAAAAACAACTAAGGCCGAAAAACAAGTTTACCACTTACCCGCCCTCCAGTATTACAAGCAGCTTTCCTCCCGCAAGGCTATTCAACATGTCAGTCATACAAGCATAACCAGCAGGTGTGACCTACAAGTATTTTACATGCAAACCTAATATCAGGAATTCAGGACATGACTGATGAGAGGGGAATATTATATCCTACAGGTTTTAGGAGAGTATCATAGTCCTCACATCACATCCACCAAGTGGATCGCCTCTTGCTGCATCAAATCCAGCTGATATAATAACGAAATCAGGGGTAAACTCCTGGGCTGCAAATATAAAGGTTACAAGATCTATTAGAAATGTTAGTACAGCAAAGAAAAATGTTCATAAGCACTCTTATATAACTTTAGGATAGAAATATAAAAAGTCATCAAGATCACCAGGGGATTCATCCCTGTCTAACCTAATTCTTTATAATCAACAGTCATTCAAAGCGGCCTGAAGATAAATTCTTCAAAAGTTATGGTAAACTGTAGTATATTTTCACTTAGGGAATTGTATAATGTGATCTTTTGGGGCTGTTAAACTTGCAAGCTTACATTTAACGAGTAAAAATGACAAACCAGGGGAATCCGTGTAAAAGTTAATTGTAACAAGAATCATATAAAAGTCATTCCAGTACCAAATCCACAATTAAAAACAAAGTCCCCATGCAACAAATTTATGGATCATGACAAATTGGACAAGTACCTTATAATCAAGCCTTGTACTGGAGTCCGGGAAACACTGATGAAAACATCAAATAAAAAAATTTCTCACGGCTTAATTTTATCTTAAGGCAATTGGTGCAAAACAATAACTGCACAGCAGTTGCACAAAATAGCAAGACTTCACAGCCTTTTTAAAATTAGAAATTTTGGAGAACATTATCATAGCATTCTCTTGCATAAATCCATATACTTCATCGTAATAGATGAATGTCCAAGGATCCAGCTGACATAATAGTTAAAGGAATAAGTAACTTCAGAATATTTAAAAGTCAACTTCTGTCTCCTTTTAGATACGCATATGATAATTTTCATGCCCTTTTAGGGTAATTGAAGAATACATTGAATAGAATGAGTGAATGACTAATCAATACAAGAAAGCCAAGTCAGTGTACCAATGGACAATCCCTAGATTTGCATTTAATCTGCACCATTTCCCAAAATAAATGCTTGATACAATAACACTACCTATGTTGATCTATTCCAAACTCAATATTCTTTAAAGGTGATCTAAGGACATGAAAATATTTCAGAGTAAGTGGTGTGCTTGTTACAAATGAGAATTGTGAAAAATTAATTGCAGATGAATGTTAAAGAAAATATGAAAATAAAGAAAGGATGGATGGGGGTGATTGTATCAACAAAATTCCAAAATTTTGAGTCTCAGGAGGCTGGGACACTCCTGTGACAAATTCCAACCGCAAACTGTGCTACTCACATACAGTAGATGCCAAACCAAGCAGCAGCTCATACAACAACCTGAGCATGTAGCAGAGCAGACAGCAGAAGGGATGTGCCAACACCAAGTAGTGGATGGGAAAAGCATCTAGTTTGGCAGCACGAGTATAGGCAAGTATCAACAATATTAATTTTACCAGGTAGCAACATAGAGGTTTGAGAAAAGGGTAAGTAGCAGAGAAGGAGGGAGTAGTAGGATTGTTCAGAAAATTATACTTCCTCTGTTAAATATTAATTGCAACAAAGAATATTTTATGTTACACAAATAATTCCTCTTTGTTGCAATTAATAGTTAACGGAGGAACTATGTGGAAGCCTACAATTTCTGGCCTTACCCATCTCTCTTTTTATTCAATTCCTAACATTCCCCATTTCTCTCACTTCTAAGTTCTAACAGAATTCTGACACCACAGTATGCATAACAACTTTCATTTATATTTCTCATATTTCCCATCGGGTACTCGCGTCATGAGTAAGTGGCTCTGATGGGAAGCTATGGTGCCGATAGGTGCATAACAGTGCTTTGCAAATTGTAAGCATTAATTAGTATTTTTTATCTATTGGTAGTCACCTATTGGAAGCACGACATGTTGAAATGCAAAGATGTAATCATTGTCACCAACTCCTCCACAGCTCCAAGGAACATTCACACAGTAGCCTTCACCACCCATGGTACCAACCTGCAGAAAAAATTAGGTTCTTGAATTATGAACAAAGTACAAATAGGCATGACAAATTAGAATATTGGCATCTCAGGCTTATGCTTCAGATCTACCACATAAAACTGTAATCATAATACTCATAAACACCATTGAACATCTTTTTATGGTTTTTTTGACCTTAGGCGCTTAATTGACAATATGGTTCAAATAATATTTGCTCTTCTGCCCTCAAGAAAACAAAAAAAGATTGCCTCAAGGGCAAAGTAACCTTTGGTGCCATTGCATCTCTCGCATTAAACAAAAGAGGAAAATGACAATCATCACAAGCCTTATGGAGTTTATATTTGTACCATATTGTAAAAGTAGCCCCATTTTGAACAAGGTGTTGCACTCCTATCACTAAAGAAAGAAACAACAACAAAGTTCCCACAATAAATGACACATCTAGACAAAATCTTTCACAAACCTTGCCTAAAGAAAGAAACACCACTAACAAAGTTCCAACAATAAATTACACATTCCCACCTTAATACAATGGCAACAAAGCTTTAATCCCAACATTTTTTGTGATAAAGGATTGTCCACATAAATTTGAATGAAGAAAGAGAGAAATGATAATATAAAATTGGACGGGGAAACGTTGGGGGTAAAAAAAATTAAAAAAAAAAAAAAAAAAAAACATAAAAATGAAATGTAAAGTGAAACCCAAAAGGAGGATATGAAAATAAAATTTGAAAAGTTTTTTTATAAGAGGGTTTAAAGGTTTTAAAGAAAGGAAAGACATGCAAGTTATAACACATAAAATTAACAAAGGAAATAAATAGAGTTTGCAAAACACAATGATATATATAATATTAATTATGTCAACACATGTCCTCGGTGTTTTTCTCCTCCACCCTATCCAACGCATATTTTCCACAATCCCAAAGACTCTTATCAATCTTAATCACCTCCTCCAAATTTTCTTTGGTCTTCCCGTGCACCTCACGATTCCATCACTTTACCACTCTCCAAGCCTCCTTACCAGAGCTTCACACAACCTTAGTTTTAAAAGGCGCAAGGCGCACCAAGGCACAAATGGTCCTCGCATCCTAGGCGCGAGGCGCAAAGCGAAGGCGAGCGCCTTTTGCATGCAAGGCGCATGTATTTATATATTTATTTCAAATTATTTTTTACTTTGATAGTACTTAATACCAATTAAAAAGATTCATAATAAATTAAATAATGATATATTTAAAGCTAAGGTAGTCTGAATTTTAAAAAATGTACATTCTTCAATTTATAACTTAAATCTTAGTTATTTTCCTTGAGGCGCAAAGGCGTGCCTTACCAAAGTGTTAGAATCCAACTCCTTTTGATGTATTAGATTCTTTTTAGATGCTTTCTTAGAGTCTAGTTTATGTTTTCTAAGCTTGAGGTCCCATTATTGTGTTACTGTCAGTTTAATGTTCACTAGGGATTCTCCTTGTAATCAAATTAAAGCTCTTTAGAGGGTGAATGACTAATGAAATCTTAAGCCTTCTACCAAGTGTTGCCTTGCTCTTATGCTTATTTGTTGTTAGACCTTTATAGATATTGTGTCTTACTTGCATAATAACTCCCCTCCAAACCAACTTGATGCACTAAGAACTTGTGGTTCGGACCCGCTTGTGCCTGCCTTGAAGTATCGGCCGTCACAAGCCCCGTCCACCCGCACTCCGTCGCCCAAATAGACGTGAGTGCTCTTTCGATTTAATTGCCTGCTTGTATTGCTTTGTGCTCTCTTCCGCTCAAGGCTAGCGTTCTTGCCGCCAAAAGGCGCGCGCCTTCGAGCCTTGCCTAGCTAAAGCCCATTTCCTGGGACTGAGGCGTGCTTTTTAAAACCAAGCACACAACATCCACACTTATATATATATATATATATAATTTAAAAAAAAAAAAAAAAGATACATGTTTTTTTAGAGCACAACACATGCACATATGATTAAAGCATGCATCCAATACATGCACGCATCAAAGCTAACACATCAAATACCCTTAGACCCACCCCCATCTTCAACCCTGGCACATATGATTAAACTAGCCAATCAACATCTTGTTGTGCATGAAACCATGACTATATATAGGTCCACCTAACTTATTTACTGCTAAAATATCTTCTGTGCCCATGACTGGAGGCATACACAGGCTTTTCATGAGTTTTTCATGTGTTGCTCATAGTTCATAGTTTTCCATCTTATGCTAATATAAAAGCTACTATTGTGAACTATTGAAAGCAAGAGGTTGAGGGACACATATAGAATTATGTTCAACAACCCTCTCTCCTCAAGCTTATGTCTCTTAAGTGATATACAACTGGTTGGAAGGCTCGATTGTTCTAAACTGTCTTTTGTGAAAGAAATACTTGTCACCAAATAAACTTTCTCATCCTCATTGACGCAACTTTATAATCTATCTAGAATGACCCAATTTCTGCATCCTGTCCCTAGTTTCTCACAATTCATTGTTATTAATCTGTGCTTCATAGCATTACACCAAAAACAACTAAGGACCAAAACAAGAAAATACCTCATGGGCTGCCCCAGTTCCAGGATAAAAGTTGCCTCCCTCGTGTCTGTGCAGCGAAATATACAAAACCTGCAACAAGTCAAATGTTTCATGCAAAATTTATATCAAGCAGCGCCATTAAACAAAGAACAAAAAAAGCATCAAGGATTGAAGGCCACTGAAGATGCTTCTATTAGGCTTTGTCAAACACTTAAGATGCTTAATTGCACAGATCCATTATTTTTTGAGTTAACCAAGGAGCACAAAGAAAAACATGAGTAACTTCACATACACTTTGAATATTATTACTAGTCCAGTCATTGATTCAATTTTAATAAATAATAAGTCAAGTAACAAATTAAACTGATTTTCTACACCAAAACTCTACTGGAGTGAATATTTTTACAAATTTAACAGATTTTACTTTATAAAACTGATTTGTACTTCTTGCAACTGATTTTACAGATTAGAAATTAGTTTTAATAATTCACAAGCATATTTTGTTATGTGAAGTCATGATTTTTACTTTTTAAAAAAAATGATATTTACTGACTGAAACTGAATTTACTTCTTATTTTTAGATTTACTATTTTTAAGGTGAAACAAATATAACCTAGCTTGAGCAAAACAAGATCTACACGATAAAAGAGGGCATACAAAAAAGAGCTACACAGTCAAAGAGGTCTTAAACAACCATACTGTTCTGCATGTAAGAGCTGCATGCAAGAATATGCTCACTCAGAGGTATCAACAAGAGTAGCAGAAAAATCAAAATTAAACTCTCCAGGGCTCACCGACTTGTTCTTGTCAAATATATCTTGTGTACCATTTCCATGGTGTACATCCTGCACACACCCCAAAAAAAATGATTAGCACCTGAAGATCTTACACATAAAGTAGCGTCTGGCAACTAGGAAACAATAATATGTAGTATTACCCAATCAACAATCAAGACCTTCTTGGCTCCAGCAACTTGAGCAGCTAATGCAGTAATTGCTGCATTATTGTGGAGGCAGAAACCCATGGACTCATGTACACCAGCATGATGACCAGGAGGCCGAATCTGATGCATCAAATTAAATACAGCACTTTTAGTGACAGATTCCAGGTATCAAATTTCTAAGAACTCCAAAGAAAATTGAACTTCTACCAGGGCAAATCCATTTTTGGCGCGTCCAGAAAAAATCTCAGAAGCAAGATCAGCACATAAACCAGCTGCAAGCCTTGCAGCTTGCGCAGAATGCTCATTTGCATATGTATCAGGAGTGAAATAGCTGAATATTGATGATGACATACTGGTCAGTGCAAAACATACTTCTTCAAGTAACCAACCAACTAATACATGTATTAATTATCTAAACAAGCAACAAAAGATAATTTTGTACACCTATGAGATTGAATATGTATAGAAGATGATCATGATTCATGAACAGACATAGCTGGCAAAAACCAGAAGTGAAGGTTGTGAGTCCTGCATGGCCTGGCTTACATGCCAAAAAATATAAGTAATGCTCAATTAGCAGTCGTTGTTAACCATACAATATCTTTAACAAGAAGAATATATTAACCTGAGAAATTTGTTAACGAAATCTTATATTCATTCCCTTAAAACATGACTCCACTAGTCAACGTCTTCTCAGAAGAAGCATTTCCAAATGTAACCAATCTAGCTTTGCTTATCCTTCTCCAACAACTCACATATATATCCGTGGTTATTAAACACATAAATAAAGGTATACACAAATGCTGCAGGGAACAAGCCCAGAAACAACGCACCAAATGCCACTCAGAAGACACTTCAGAACCACAAGTTGAAAGATCGGACATATGAAGGGCTTGTTCTCTTAACCTTCTATTTAAAACCTTCAGGTGCAACACATTCCATAAGGTTTGAGTAAAAATCACCCAGATGCGTTTTTAACCACATTTTGTAAAGAAAAAGACAAATCACCTATATGCACCTCACGCCACAAAGCAGCAGAAGTGCTAATTCTCACTCCTAAGCAAAGGCGGGTATAATTATTATGCTGTTTTGAGTACAAGATGTGTTTTTTTTTCTTCCTAGAATTGATTAATTTGGAATTTAAAGTTCTCCATGTACCCAAAAGGCCAAGACCGCGCCTCGGTACTTAAGAGCACCTAATGCCTTTTAAGACTAAGATTGTAAAATGTTTTTGACATGTCTCAAACTCCTTGTACATGACAATTAACAAAATTAAAATATTAATCAAATATAGATACAGCTATTTTTTTATTTTCCTAAGATAGTACTTAATTAATGAGATAAAGCAAAGTCTAAGGTAAAGAAACTAGTACTCTTTAAAACAGAAATCACTGCCATTAATTTTTTAACTAAGAGTGTGTATGCATCTAAGTGACACGCCAAAGGGCCACTCGCTCAGGATATGCAAATGAGTTTTACAAGATCAAGAACTAGAGAGGCTTGAAGATCTGCAAACAATACAGATAGTATGAATTTGCCAAACCCAAATGCAATTTCCATATGAATGTCACATGCCGCAAATATTGAACAGAACTCAAAAAAGCAAAGCAAAAAGGCTCAACCACTATCAATAAGAAGTCTACTGATTCAAACCTGTAGATCTTACTCAGATACAGAAATGAATCAATGGAAATGATTAACCATTATACTTTATGCATATAAAGTCTGATTATTCAAATCTTCAAAGCTTACACAGATGCCTTTTGGCAGCTCTTTGTTACCTTTTAATTCAGACAAGGCAAGATAAAAATAGGGCTTAACATGAATGAAAGGGACTAGGTATTCTATATAAAATGAAGATTGCTAAGATTAGACAAGTATAATTTAGCATTCAACTTAACTAGCCAAGCTGCATGCATCCACTCCTCCCAAATCAATTTAGCATTCAACTTAACCAGCCAAGCTACATGCATCCACTCCTACCAAATCCTACTATGGACAATACATACAAGGAGATCTAATATTACTCAATTAGCTCGTCCAAAAGGTTTATAGTTAATAATCTGTGGACAGATTACATTTCAGCAGCAGCTACAAAGTAGCAAATGCTGTGAAAGATACTTCAGCTCAGGAAATATTATGAAGATAAGAATCCATCTTCCTACACATCTCTAACAAAAAAACAGATGGACACAGCAGGTATGGAAACTTGGAGAATGAAAACCCTTATCCAATGACAATACATGAATGCAAGATCCAAGAGAAAAAAGATAAAGAAAAATAAATATGAGATACAAGGGCCAGAAGCAGACCTAGAAAGCATTTTCTCGGTGACGTCGACGGCATTTATATGCTCCATAGTATGTACCTGAAGATACACATCATGCAACAATGATTCAATAAGAGAAAAGAACAGATGGCCCTGTAAAAATGCAAAATATTATGGCTATGACTAGCTAACGGTTATTCATCCATCAAAAAAAAAAAAAATGTAAGAGCCAAAATCTAGAAGTACATTCAGAAATCAGAAAACAGTGAGTACATCATACATCTTATTTTCCTATCCTACCTAGACAGCTAAGCTTTAGGAAAAGAAACAAACATGGGTACATGTACAACTATACAAGACATCTAACCCACTTGGTCATATTGCCACCCACAGATAATGGCATAAGCTCAATAGGTTACTACTATTTCGTTTCTTAAACCACAACTAGTCATTGTATTCAATCTGTTATACGAGAAAATGAACCTTTATTATCAGCTAGGTAAAGAAATGAACTCGCATACTGGAATAATGATTATTGCTACTGACATAAGTAAATTGTTATTATTGTTGTTATTATTTCTCTTCTTTTCTGATGCCATAACTAGGCATTGTATTCAATCTGCTATACAAGAAAATGAACCTTTAATGTCCGCTAGGCGCTAGGTAAGAAAATGAACTTGATATTGGAATGTTTTTCGTTGCTACTGACATGTGACTAATTTACATAAGCTTAAATCATGTAGTTCATAATGAATACAAGTTTTCATTTCGAATAGGAATAATAAAGATACATCTAACATAACTAAATAGCAACTTCAATAACAACCCAAGGATCACCTCATGGTGTTTGCACTGGTAGAGATTTTTCTTGATCAACCTAAAAGGTCAACTACCCAAGGAATTAAAGAAAGTAAGAAAAGAGAGGCAACCTCAAGTGTCTATAAATAGGACGAAAACACTTGCCCCTCAACCAGTGGCGGATATATGAAGGCACAAGGGGTAGCACATGCTACCCCTGAATGGAAAAAAAAAAAAAAAAAAAAAAAAAAAAAAAAAAAAAAAGAAGAAGAAGAAGTAGTAGTTTAAAGAGACCTGTTATGTTAAATAACTGCTCTCTTAGAGTTTGCTATAATAAATGCCAACAATCCCGCTTCTTTCCAAGTTAAAAGAAAATAGACATGTTTATATTAAACAGGTCTATTAGGTTCTAACCTTTTCTTTTTATGATTCCCTTCTTAAAAAAACAGGTCTCTTAGATTGATTTTTTTTTTCTTTTTTGAAACAAATTAACTGTAGTTATATATGTACATAATATTTCCTTCAAAAAAAAAAAAAAAAAAAAAAAAATATTTGTACATAATATAATTTTTGTAAAAACTCTCATTTAAGTTATGAAAACTTACAAATTAGTAGAATCTTAAGATTTTAAATTATAAAATATATATACTTATACTTTAATTATTTTAATCACCGTACATAATACCAAATATAATAATAATACAATATTATTCTTCCTGTCAAAAAAAATAAAATATTATTCTTAAAAACTCCTTCTTTGATAAAACTTCTTCCCATTTTTGTTCCACTTTTCAATGCACATATTTATTTGGTAAGTAATCAATATATTTACTATTTAGTTTCATTTGAGTAAATCAATAATTTATATTAAATAAAATAATTTTATAGTTTTATATTTACTTTTGAATAATAAATTCAGAGGAATACATACAAAAATTTACTATTAAACCTATGAAATACTTTTTAATTTGATCATATTCATAAGTAGAATATAATTTATTCCATATTCGTTAAATGAAAATTCATCAACAAAAATGAATTTTTAAAATTTAAAGACTAATGATAATGCTAGTATATAATATAGAGCTTTTTTTAATTTTCATTTTTTTCCCCTTATTATTCTATGCTACCCCTAGTTAAAATTCCTAGATCCGCCACTGCCCTCTACCCCCTACAATAACCACGTCCTAATAAGGGCAAAGTACAAACATCATTCCAGATTACCAGACCAGCCTTTTTCTTGAGCAATGTATTGCATTCGTATTTATATTTATTAACATGTTCCTGAAGCAAGCCTTTCAATTCCCCAATTTTTTCACTTTTCCAGGAATTTTTTTCACTTTTCAAGGAACATAGTTCCTTTTGATGTCCTACTCTCAAATGTTCAATGGAACAAAAGCAAGACCATTCAAAGAGATATCACAATCAAACCAGTTATATTGAAACATATCCACAGTTCACATTGTACGATTACTAGCAGAAATGCTGGAAATGAAGCATGCACCTATAAAGGCATTAAAGAGTTACAGCAACATATCATAAGTAAATGATTACCTTCAATAGTTCTTCTTTAGTTATTTCTCTAGCACCAATAGGACGACATTTGCCAGGATAGATTCCTACATACACCAAAAATACGCAATATCTTCGAAATTACTAATGAAAAATAAAAAAAATTTAAAAAGTATTAGTGAAACATGCTCCGACATCCATCACAACCAGAAGTGAAAAGAAGACATAACCAAATGTAAGAAGAGTGCAATACGGGACCTGCTGTAGAAAGGCTAGCGGCAATTGCTCGTAAACGATCAGGTCTTTCTGGATGAGAATAGACCTTCTCTGCAACCTATTGCCATAAACCAACAAATAAGATCAGTTGTCAAGGAAAAACCAAGAGAAACATTCAAAGATTCATTATAAAGCATCCTTCAGAAAACGGTTTGCTTTCTTTCAAATCAATCAAGCAAGCAGTAGTTTTTTCCTAGAAGAAGGGTGACCACCTCCTTCCACTTTGGCCGAGGGCGATTCTTGTCGGGTAATTATCCTTAATTGTTTTTAAATTGAACTGAGTTTAGCTCTGCAAGGCCACAAATGCACATGTAGCATGGAAAAGAATGATTAAGAAAAAAAAAAAGTTTGTTTAAAGAAAAATAATTTATGGAATGTATATACTAAAGTTAGTCTACGTTGGAGGTTGACAAGACGTCCTAAATCAAGATAAAATTACAGTGAGTCCCATTTCCCCTAAACTCAAGGAGCTAAATAAATAACACTATCCCAAAAGTCATTGCAAGAGTGGCCTCTGAGAAGATACATCAATTACATTCTAACAAAAAACCACAATTTTTCATAAAAGCAATGAGTCGTAGCTAATTTTCTTTCATCAACCTAAACCCCTCAGAGTGCATTTGAAACAACTCCCCCAAAAATTTCCTCCAAATAGACATTTACCACCAAATGAAGCATGATACACAAGCCAAGGTTTTCTGTTGGCCCTAATCAAACAACAACAACAAAATAAAAAATACCTAAAAAAAAGAAGGTTGTGCGCCTCTCCTATACTCTCCTCTCCTCTTCTCTCCTCCTATTTTCTAGGGTTTCTTCAAAATTTTGGCCGTTTAAGCCGGAAATTAGACTATTTCCGACTCTTCCCTTATTTTTATTTAGTTTTGCAATTTAGATTTCAACAAATCTACACATGTAGTGTAGATATCCGTCCGTCTCCCTATGGTGGAGTGTCTCCCTATGGTGGAGTCGTAGTTTTTTGTTAGTTTAGTTGTTTATTTATGTTTAGGGTTTGTTTGTATGTTAGGGTTCATCAAAAAAGTAATCATCTTTTGCCCTATTGTCAGTTCTTTGGTAAAGATTTGTTCGGGATCGCAACGGTTGTCAAATCTTTAAATGCGTTCAGGCGAATCAGATGAGAATCATCCTTACGGGTACCACGAATCGTTAGACTGTCTCTCCGAAAAGGTTGTATATTCCAGCGATGTGTGCGAGAGATGTACCACAGTGCAAGATCTTTTCAACGATTGTAGCTCTGATGAAGGAAACCCTAATTTGATTCAATTTTATGTATTTGTTAATTTAGATTTCATTTGTAGTTGTCGGATGGCTTTTATTAATGAATTGATTTGTTTCAAAAAAATAAAAAATACCTAATCAAAGCTAGCATCTTTACAAAAGCTCTCACAGCAAGAGGAACAGGAACCTCAGTCTTCCAATTCGAGATACAAAACAAGGGGATCATCGTAACCAGGTTAAACAACCAAGGGGTAAAAAAAAATGGACAGAAAATTGAAGAAAAGACAATTAAAATAGAAACAAGTAAACTGGTCTTCTCTCTAAGCATCCTTCCAAAGATAATATATCAGCATACACCTATCACAAAACTGACAGCACAAAATAAAAGCATTGATCATGAAAGAAACCAATTTCCACGGACATGTAAGCACTATTAGCCTAAAGTGCATCCCTATTCTTTGACAGTCCATATTTGAATCCAGATTTTCCTCCTGATGATGTGATACAAAAGGGAATTCAAATGCAATACACCACAAGCATCAATCAAGCAAAACTAGGATACTTGGAACAAAAAAATAGACCATCATTCCAATCTCTGGACCTCCAACTTTCAGTTGACAAATCAGATCCCACTTCAGCAGGTGTATCTCATTACCCAAACAGATAATAAGAGAGACAATAAAGAGCATGCTAAACAAGAATTACGATGCTATCCTGCCACCCAGGGAGAACTCTTCCAGCCATCCAACCTCTACAAAACTTACAAACCACCTCCCATGCACACACAAACACACGATACATCAATACTCTAGCAAAAACATCCACGATACATCTGCACTAAATACCTTAAGACATTCTTATGAAAGTTATATAGCAAATAGCCAGTATTATAAGCTCACTTATTAAGAGCTATATAGCAAATAGCTAGTATTACAATTTTCTATTCAAAGAGTTGAAGAAGAATTTCAAAGAAGCTAAAAGCATTATACTACATCACTTTGAGCACTGAAATACACATTGTTGTGACAATAGTGAAAAGCAAGCATATGCCAATACCCAGGCCTATATAACCCAAATACTGCAATTTCAACATCACCTCAGTAAGCCAGCTAAGGGATTTGTACATCCAAAAAAAATCATGGACTATATATATTAGCTATGATGTCAAAACACATAAGTGAAAACAGAACTAGTTACCAAAAGCTAGAAGAGCGTGATAATCAGGGGTAAAAGCATACTTCTGAGTGCAATAACATTCTCTCATCAAAACCTATTGCAGTGGAGTGCCCAGCAGCTGCAATATCAGATACAGATTCTGTAGAAATTGAAACATAAGAAATTTATCACGACTTCAGAGAAGAACAATGAAATTACATCCTAGAATACAAGCTTTTCAAACCAATTAACCAACGAATTAATTTAACACAAGGACTCATCTACAACAAACCACATTTAGAGAGATTTCGAAAGCATTCTACAAAAATCCATATATGCTCTTCTGCATATGACAAAAAAAAATTATAGTGCATCAACCAGGATAGGGCCTCGAAGCAATCAAAGGGACCCCAATTTGGTGCAGAACAGTCAAAACATAAATCATAGTGCGTGCAATGCAATTGTTTTTCAAGCAACAAGATTTAAGCGATAGAAACTCCTATCAATATATACCCCGTAGGAAAAAAAATCTAGAGCCGCCATTTCAAAAAATTAATAGCTTTTTAAAGCTGGCGGGTACTATTTTACTTTGAAAATGAAGGTGGGTTGATATGCTAATACTTCAAAAATATTATGACAGCATATGTAAATTTTTGTTCATATCAGAAAAATGTATTAAATATGGGAAATGTAACATTGGATGCTTATAGAAAAAATATTTGAACGTTAGTGAAATGCATATATACATAAGTGAGAGAATATCTAGGACTGTCATTATAAAAATAAAAATACATTAAATGCTCGCCGAGTATGATTGTAATTTGAAAATGTAAGGTGAGCTGATATGCTAATACTATAAATGCGAGGATATTGATACCTAAGTGAGTGATCGGGTAATGACCTTATACAAGTGAGGTTAATGGTGAGTTGACAAACAAGTGGGCCACTGGGCATTGATATATTTGATGAGTATGGATGTATTTGATTTTATACCAACCATGTTCGATGCACTAAAATAAAGTCTATAAGTTTTGTTACTACAGTTAGTTAAAAATCCAATGACTTTGCCCCAATTGTGAACGATTCTCAAATTATACTCCCTTTACACTTTTATAACAGGAAAGACACTAATATTTTACTGCATTTCTCCACTTCCCTACTATAAATAAATGGTCTCACGCTCACATTCAATTAAAAAAAAATACCCACTATCTCCATTAAAATTACTTTAATAAAACAATACCCCCCCCCCTCTACTAGCACCTATCATACTTGTTTTATGATACCACCTAGCCCATTGTAGCATCTTTAAGGGGTGCCACGTTATACAAAGGTAGGTAATTGAGCTTTCAAGGGTTGTTCACCACACCAAACATTATGAAGAAAGAAAGCCTTCAACTCATTCTTTTTACTGATGACAATATGACTATCTATGTCTAGCCTTGAAATTTCATAAATCACAAAAGAGAATAAAATTAGAAGAGTCCCAAGAATATAGTATATAAATCACCTTAGCTGACCACAAACTTGAGCAGAATTGCTTCATTCCAATGTATCAAACAAAATATTTTGATAAAAACACAGAGGAAAAATCAGAATTATTAGCTAATTGCAGAAGGAGACACTTTAGTGCATTGAATGCATCATCCTCTAAGATTCTGAATATTAAAACACTCAAGCCTCCTTTGATTGTCATAACAAAAAACTACAGTGAAGAGGACTATAAAACTAAGCTCTTATCATATGCTCCCGGACACTTTCTAAATTTGCAAAGTGATAGCCCTATAAAATCAGAGACCATGCAAGCGAAAGAAGAGGGCTAGGGTACATGTCTTATATTTCTTTTTGCAACCCTCTTACTTCACATACCCCGACTAAGTACACCCAGGTTTCAAATGTCACGATTGACCCTAGTGTCACATTGAACTTGGTTTGGTCTATGCTTTATGAAATAAATTACACACTTAGATAAGCGTTATGTGCATACCCAAAACGTTATTTAATAGCCCAAAATAAACTCTATCCTTAATGATATAAAGGCAGCCCGTTTCATCATTCCTTTGAAGCTTTCTTGTTCACAATTGTTAAGTTGAAGTATGTTTTTTCCCCTATTACAAAAGAAAAGTTCTGGTTTCAAGAAGGGAATGATGTAAACTCAACTCCACCCTCATCCTACAAGCCTACTTATATAAGATTAATATCCGAGAACGTGTATGCCTTCACCTATTCTCGTTACAAATGCATCAACATGCAGATTTTTATGCTTTATCCTAAAAAAAATTACCTTTTGTTTGGAGTAATTTCACATTTCCGTGAAAATTCTCTGACTAACTTGTTTGTAGTAATTTCACATTTCCATGGAAATTCTCTAAATACTTTAGTTTTATGAATCAATGAAGTACAGTTAATATAATGATTTCACATCGACAATCAAATTTACTTTTTGATGGTGGTACATTGGTACTTACAAAATAATTAGATAGTTGTACATCAAAAGTCGTCTAGTGCACCAAACATAGTCTAAGTTTTGAAAATCCAAATCCCATTTCATTGTTGCTCTCACTTTTATCTCCATTCAACTGTGTCTAAACAACTAAACACGATAAAATTAATTACACGTCCAAGAAAAAAAAAATGCACAACAAACTCGCACCTGTAAAGGTTTCTTTCACTTGCAAGTCAAGTGGAGAAAGAGCAGCCACTTGTGAAGCAAAAAATCCATGCTTAAGAATTCCAGATTCCTTGTGCTCATTGCATGTCTCACACAAAACAACACCATCTGGGTTAAGCATTGTGCAATTGATGCAAGACCACCTTCGAACGAGAAACGGCTCCCAATCAAGATCATCTTCATCATCATCAATCAATTCATCCGGGTTATTACAGAGATCTTCTAGGGTCAATTCTCTATTACAGTTTTCCTTTTTCTTCTACAACAAATTAACACAACCAATGAACAATCTTTTCAATAAATTGTTTTAACTAACTAACTTGGGCATCGCCCGAGCCAATAACTAGTTGTACATCGTATGCCACATATGTTTACAGATACAAATTAAATACCTTTGCATCAGAGCGAGAGCAAAAACTCGCCGTGCTCGTGGCCGTGTCAATATTTCCATTAAGCTGCTCATCAGTTCCATTTTGGCAAATAACTAACTCAGCTGATTCTGAGATCATGTTGCATTCAGCACCCTGTTCACATTGACCAACTTAGCAACAAAATACATGTATAAATAAATAAATAAATAAAATTAATTTTTAAGCAAAATAATTCACCATTAATTAATAGATACGTTCAAAGCCTTCGACTTCATCAATTGAAGAGCACGAACAACTGTGAATATCGAAAATTGAGATCTAGGGTTTGAGTGATTGCCCCTAAAAACCAAAATTGAATTGTTAGCAGAGATTAAGGGGGTTTTGTAGGTGAAGTTGAGACGATTGAAATGGTGGATTTTTGACAGAGACAACGAAACGACGATGATGTCACCGGTGAAATTGACGCCGGTTTTGGAGGAGAGAGAAAGACATGCAGGTCAGCAACTGATGACTTAATTTTAATACTATGAGATGAGAAGTTGAAGAGTTTTTCTTTTAATTACAGTATTTTTTTATTTTTTTTTTTGAAAAAATTACAGTATTTGTTTAAACGAGCATAATTTTTTTGGGAGGAGATTGGAATTTAGGGGTGTTCCTTTGATTTCGCTTTTAGTTTGGACTTATGTCAAATCCAATTCAATTCGATTTTGAAATAAAATTGGATTTTTAATTTTTCAAATTCAATCTGATTCATATTTTTTTTTATTAAATTCAATTCAAATTATTGTGTAGTTATTTGGATCTGATCTTGAACTCTGAAGTAAAAAATGTTGTAAGTTTTTAGGATCTAATTCAACTTATAAAACTTAAAATACAATTATAAAAATTTAAGTCTTGAAAACATAGTTGTACATGACTAATACAAGAACTGAAAACATATACATGATTAATATTAATATGATTAAAACATATAGTTTTACATGGTTAATATATACTCCCTCCTTTTTTAAATACTTGTTCTACTTCTCCATGCGCGAAGTTTTAAGAATTAATAAAATACTTATATAAAAGTGGTGGGGTAGGCAGAAGAATAAAAAATTGTAAAAAGCAAAATTAGTTGAGAGAATTGGAAAATATAAAATTAATAAAATATGATTTATGTGGGGGTCCACTAGATGAATTAAATATTGTAAAAACTTTCCAAATAAGGAAATGAAGCATATATTTAAAAACGGCCAGAAAAGGAAAGTGGAGCAAGTATTTAAAAACGGATGAAATACAATATTTGTAAGATTACGGTTTTATATTTCGGTTATTTGGATCCAAACAATGTCACGATCAAATTAATAGTTCGGTTTGGACTGGGTTGGCTTTGTTTAAATCCGAATAATGGACACCTACTTTGAATCCTACAAGGTTACAAGCTAATGGAGTATTGTTCTTTTAAATGTAGAGGGTTGTAATAGATCGAAGGTGGGTTGGGTAATGCTTGACCAACCTTCATCTACCACCTGATTCATCACCTAAATTACCTTAATCCATATTAAATCCACCTATTATTCTTTAATCATGAATGAATTGAATAGATTAGATGATAAATCCTTGTGTAAAAATTACACCCACTTACCATTGAACCAAGAGAATAATAATGTTATACAAGGGAGTTCAATAGATAAATTACTAAATTTTATAGGCCATAGAATTGGGCAGCGCCAGTTGGACCTCTACTAGCCCCCCATGTGGCTATGTGTTACGGTCCGGGAGTTTGAGCCCGGAAACATGCGGCGCACTCTAGCCTTTTGGTGGCAAGAACACTAGCCTTAAGCGAAAGAAGGGAATCTTAGGAGCACTTTTGTCTATTTGGGCAACGGAGCGCGGGAGGTCGGGGCTTGTGATGGTTGATACTTCAAGGCAGGCACAAGCGGGTCCAACCCACGACCTTAATGCATCAAGTTGGTTTGGAGGAAAGCTATTATCCAAGTAAGACACAATATCTATAAAGGTCTAACAACAAACAAGCATAAAAGTAAGGCAACACCTGGTAGAAGGCTTAAGATTTCATTCAATCATTCACCCTCTAAAGAGCTCTAATTTGATTACAAGGAGAATCTCTAGTGAACACTGCATTGATAGTAACACAATAATGGGACCTCGGGCCTAGAAAACATAGAGAAAACTATAAGAAAGCATCTAAAGGAAATCTAATACATCAAAAGGAGTCAGATTCTAACACTATGCCTATTGAACCACCAGGCTTAAATTGTGGATTTAGGCCAAGGACAACACAATGAGGGCTGGTGAATTAAAGACTAAAGAGTTTACAAAGCACAACACAATGATCAACTCACTTTCAGGCATTCTGATCCTGCACCTCCTCTTCCAAGTTCCAATTCTCAGCTAAACACTAACATTTATTAAAGTTCCTGCCACCATTTATTAAAGGAACCTGCAGGGAAGAAGTCGTTCACTCTTCATTATGGACCTGTTTACTCTTACAATAAAGAAGACCTTTATAAATTATATTAGTGCTAGCTAGTGTTTATAGTCTTATAGAGCTTGTGTAGTTAGCAATTAGAAGCAATGAAATGGCTTGTTTGCTAGAAGTGTTGTATTTTATTTGTATTAGTGACTCCAAAATACATGTAGTAACTAGCAAGTACAAGAGGTTTTTTGTTATCATCGGAGCAAAAGCAATGCAGCTCATTAGCATTGGCTATAATAAGGGCTACTATCGTCTTATATTTCTTTCTTCTTATACTTGTCAAGGAATACAGCCTACGAAGCCAAAATTTCGTCATTTAACAATTCCCCACCCTTGAAGTACATATTTAACCATGTGCCAATGAAAGGGATGATTTGGCTGCAGAGATTATTTAAAGCATAGTTAACCGACATCTTCATTCCTCAAAACAAAAAACTTCTGCAAAACTGGAACTTGGTACCTGTAGAGAACATAGTGTCATCAAATCGTATTGCTATACTACATATATTTCAAAGTAAAATTTTATTTATACTTTATATTAATAGATAATAGTTATATTAATAGTCAAAGTGCTCAAACAATAAAGGGAGAAAATACTAACAAACAACAGCAACTATAAGTATAGAAATGTGGGCCTAGCGATTGTTGAAATACAAACATTTGCCAAATACTATAACTCATAACTAACCAGTATCACCATGGATCATCAACATCAGAAATGGTGGAAAGCAGTATTGACCTAAGCTCCTCTATTTCTTTCAGCACTTGCTCATTCTCAGCCTGTCTTTCCTGTATCTCAGTTGCTAGTGCTGCAAAAGAGAATTTTTTTAATGACATTATGTCAATAGATCGAAGTAAAGTATATCAGAATTCAAATTTCCTGCTCTTGACATTTTGGGCACAAACACCATCACATTCCAGAACAAATTCAATACTTGGCAATAGCTAGCTGGACAAGGTGCCGCAGAACTAGGGAATACACAGGTTTGTAAAATATTAAGTTTCACAATCATGGCGTTCAGAAACTAAATACTACGATAAATGATCAAGCATTAATGTAGCAAAAAAATTTCAGTTTCATTGTAAATTTTTTTTTTTTTTTTTTCAAAGGCCAATTTTAAAATTGAGCACCAGGCAAGAACCTTCACAAGACATGAACAAACCATTCAAACCCCAGTAACAACACCAGTGGATCCTGCTTCTAGTCAACTAGGTTCTCGAACATAGCTGTACAAAACATTACTCAAGATATCAAATTTTTAGGTCCAAAACCTCTAAAGCTATGCTTGCTAACATATTATTATAACCTATATACCAGTTTCCATTTGAGTGATCTATATCAACTTATATCAAGGTCTTACATAATAAAGGCAGACACAAACAGAGAAGATTCACAGAAGATGGCAGCTATTGGAATAAAGGGATCAGTAACTAAGAATTTGATTTTTTAAATAACTACTGCAGGACCAGGCCAAAAGTAGATTGAGCTGATTGCAAGCTTTGTACATCACAAGCTACCAAAAAAAAAAAAAAAAAAAAAAAAAAAAAAAAAAAAAAAAAAAAAAAAAGCAATAAGTACTTAAGCTTGAAATAGAACTCCAAGGAACTGCCAGTTGTCATACTGTTAAGTAAAGTGGATAATTTGGTTCGCATATAAGCATGAGTCTTTAGGCTACTGCCAATAGTTGGAAGGTCCTTCATATCTTCTAAGTAGATATACTTTGCCACACAATTGAAGGGAGTCTATCTTAGTAAACAAGAATGATGACCTACTGCTATACTAAAAAGAAAAAAAAGGTAACTAGATATTATGCATTATAGACAAGATATAGACAATTTGAAATAAAATCAAATTGGCAGTCAAACATCAGTTGACTTAGATGAACAAAGAATTCCAATTAACATCAAACATAATATACGCTGTTAATAAAAATGCACAAGGTCAGCCCACAATGAATATACAAAACTCTTCAAACTACTAAACAGACCAGCAAGAGTGCCATTGAAACCGGGGTATGCGTAAAATGGAGAAAAGAGCCTCGGTTGAAATTTGCTTTGTCCACTACACTTTGCACTTGCAGTAACATACATTTCAACAAAGACGAAAAAGTAGACATTTAAGCTGTTTCAGCTTTCAAATGTGACGGATTGATTAGAAGTCTCATTAAACTGCACACTACCACAAAATTGTCAGGAAAAAAAAAAAGGTGGCAGTTGTCAATTTGGGCAGAATTAAAACAGAAACTAGCCTTCTTATATTAGGGCAGAAAAAAAGGTTGGAGTTGTCAATTTGGGCAGAATTTGGGAAGCAGCAAACTTGTAATAATTAGATTCTTCTTATCCTGCTATGGCTAGGAGACACATGAGCAGCAGGAAACATGGTTCTATAATATGCTACAGTATATTACATTTCATAGATTCAGTAGGTCACCAAGCAGTGATCAACTGCTGACACACCTGAGAACTCTAGTATACAGGCAAAATATTGACTGTGATTCAGGTTTTTATTGAACACAAAGTAAAAAACAATTATTGTAAGAGTTATACAATGTTGAAAAGTTTATAAGAGGAAGATTATTACCAGAATTAGACCTGTATAGATCTTCAAGAATGTCCTCAGAAAGTGCAGTCACTGGTACTCTAAAATTGTAACCTGTCTGATCAAGCTTATGGATCTCATCCTCAAGAGATTCTTTTTCCAACAACATTTCCCTCAGTATGTTGCAACCTTCACTTTCAATTTTCTTTTGGAATTCAATACACGCCACGGAAAAACTTTCCCTATCCAGAAATTCAACAATTAATCTCATCAAGATAATCTTGTACAGTTGTTTCAACGAAAATTTTAGCACATTGACATTATATAAGGAATTTGAATATGTTGAAATTATACCTCTTTTTAATCTAAAGCAAAGAGAAAGAGGTTGCTTTCTATTTATTCATTGTCACATAGATATAAGTCAAAACATGGTCACTATGTACTAAACACTGAGAAAGAAATTCAAAAAGAATGCTGAGGCTTTAGTTAGCACTATTAATATACTTAACCAAAAACATCACAAATGGTTGCCAGACTTGCCACTAATTATACCTTCAAATAATGCTTGTATATATTGAAGAGTGGGGTTTCCACTATTAAACACCCACATTTTATGTTACTTTCCATAAAACCATCATTGTTCCTGATTCAATTCTGTTTTCAAGGAAGTACTGATCATCTTAAGGTTCAAAAAGGTTAATAAAATGTTTCAAGAAACAGTTTAAATTCCTCCATTCATGATTTAAGCCTCAACTGATTTATTTTTACAGAATTAAGTAGAAAAGAGAAATCGTGAATATTTAGGTAGTCGATGAAAGACTAACCAAACTTAGGTTTCTATGAGTTTGTGCGTGCATGGGGTGTGTGTATAATGTATATATAATCTATACTAAATTTGGCTGCTTTAAATTTCCATTGATCAGCAAGGAAACCACTAATTCTCATAGAAACTAATGCGTTAATATTGACAACTGAATTATTAAAGCTGATAGTTCAAATCCTCCAGAACCTCATTATATCAGAATTAGAATTACAGCGAATGCAACGACCACTTTGATCTTAAAGAAAAGGAACATAAGCAGCACAAATCTTATTGACTTCCTGCAATATGCTGCTGAAATTGCAAAGCAAGGACTCGGATGCTGGTACCTTAATTTTCTTACAAGATGATACAGATAAACACTCATCATCCATTCTACTTTCGTTCTTTTTAAGTTTTTTTTTTTTTTTTTTTAATCTTACTTTATTTAATAATACTTTGATATGATCTTACTTTTTAGTTTTATTTTCTTTCAGCTTCTTTTCATTTTTTTTTTATTTCCTAATTATTAGTTTATGTAAGTTAAATTTTTTATCATACATTAGTTCAAAAAAAAAAAAAAAAAAAAAAAAGAAAAAATCCCGATTTCTCCCCCGTAATATTTTGTTTGTAAAAGAGTGTTTCGGAGCTTCAGCTCACAAGTTGAAACAGCTCCCAAATCTCAAGTCCCACACCCTCTCTCTCTCTCCTTGCTGCCCTGCACCCAGCCACCTAAACATGCACACACCATTGTCACCAACCAATAGCAATTGCAACACCCGTATGCCGTATCCTCATTGCTCTCCCTGATGCACCCCCTGCTGCTGCACCTTCCTACACTCCACAGTCCACACCTATCTAAACTTTACCATACATACCTCCCTAAATGCAAGCAGCCAACAACACCACCAACACTCTCTCCATTCTCTCACCCACACAGCCAAACAGCAACAACTACACCCCTCAACAACTCACCACACCCACAAACACCAACTCCCTTGCTGCCCTTGCCTCACCAAGCAAACACAAGCTACGCAGCTAGCCCTCTCTTCCTCAGACCCTCACTCATGCAACACCAGCCTGCGGCACCAAACCAGCAGCCCACCTTTCCGATATGAAAAAGTATTTGAGTAATCTTGAGTCTCTCAGAAACCAATTGCCTCTATAAAACTAAGCAACAAAGAGTAGACCAAACTACCAACTTTGGGTAACATTGCTTTACAGAGTCCATCTGCATTTGTTGATTGTTTACCTAATTTTGGGATTTCAAGCTTAAGATTTATAAACACAGGCAAGAGACAATTGTTGTGGACTAAAAAACTGAATAAAACTTTCATGTTCAGACATACAGGACCTTGCCTATAATAAAAAAGAAGACATAGATATTGGCCAGATTGCTTCAGCAATGTGTAAAGATTTCCCCTAGAACTATTTAAAATGTCTCCAAAAAGCATTTATATTGTATGCAATTAGAATGAACAATGAAATAAATTAACAGCTTTAAAGAGTACCGCTTCTTGTTCAATCTATCACGTAGATCATCTTTTTTCCTCCTTTGATCATTAATCTCTTCCGTCAAAGCTGCTATTGATTTTCTTGAGTTAACTATGAATAAAACAAAAAAGTGGTTGTAATAGCAAGAAGTTGTATAAAAAGTGAAGAACTAGCTACTGAAATTAAATATTTGGCATAAGACAATAAATACGACAAAACTACAGCAATCACATTATGCACTACAATACTACATTCCTATCATGTTTCTTGACAAAAACCTAAGCTATTACAATGAACACACACACACACACACATACACACAAAAAAAAAAAAAAAAAAATTAAAAAAAAAAAAAAATGAACGTTGGAAATCTTTTCTATTGGGGCACGACATTTCTGCTTGTGGATTTTGCTTGGATGGATAAAAAGAAACAACAATGTTTATTTAGAATATCAAAGCTTAGCGGTGAATAACTAGTACATGCATTGCCCTAGATTTGTAATCAGACGAACAAGCTCATTTGCAGCACAATTCATTCAAGAGAGTCAGACAATGTTCCTATGTCACTAATCACTGGTGTAATCCATAAACTCACAGTAATTGTTCATTATGCTTACTACTTTAAATTTTATTATGTGAGATAACCAAATGAATGCCTCTAAACTTTTGGCAATACATTGGCATAAACTACAATGTTAGGTAAACTTCCACTACAATACTTCACTCGTTGGGTTATGAGACTTATATTATGTTCAATGTCGTATTTAATTACAAAGTATCCCTTCTTCACTTGCTTATTCTTAGTAGTAAGCGGCTCCATTTGGATCCTTTTTCTTTCTCTTCATATCCTTCTACATTTCCCTTCCCTTCGTTACTTTCACTCGTGCACCCCCTCAAATTTTCCTCTTCTCTCTCTTCTCAGCCCATCTTCTTTCATTCCCATTGCCCAATCCCTATGTTACTCGGACTCTTTCATTTATCTCACGTGTCCGTGTCGACACGACTCGTGTCGGACACCGACACCGACACTTACACCTGGACACTTCATTTTTAACTAAAAACAAAACTTTTTTCAAGAAAATGGGCGAATCCGATACTTGGACACCCGTGTCTAATTAGACACTTCATCTGAGTCCAAGTAACATAGCCCAATACTCTCAACTCACCCCTCACTTCAAAGTCGCACCAACACGACACTTGCAACTTCAAAAACGTTCTCTAAACATATAATTAAATCGCATTACAACAAATATACCTATTTCACCGATTCTTTAAGAACATGATAATTTAATCATCTATTCCTTTCATCCTAAGTAGGAAACAACTTTCTTTGCTATCACCGATAATTTTAATTCAAAACCATCATCAAATTAAAAATCAATCAGCAATCTTCAAACGAAATTCGATTAATAATGTTAAATAACCCAAACTCCAATCAACATTCTGATTTTAAATCACCCAAAAAAAAAAAAAAAATAAATACTGCTGTAATCAAAGAGAAAATGATAAAAAGATCAACAAAACCTCAAAACCAAAAGAATTACCTGTGACAGTAATCAAACCACTTAATTCAAATTGAGACAAATAAATCAACTTCATGAGCTCAGATTCTCTAGCACCCAACGCATTCTCAATCTCTTCAATTTTAACAATTTCCGATTCAATTTCCCTTGTAATTTGGATATTCGCTTCGATTTCATCATTAACCTAACAGAAAAATTAATTTGCTCAAATTTTGTTGGCGAAAACCCTAGGTATGAAATTGAAAGATTAAAATTGATGCAGAAATCAAAGGGAAAATTTGGAATTGGATTACCTTGTCAAGCATGTCATTGAGGGTTGAAATTTGGAGGAGAATTGCTCCTGAATCGTCCATCTTTCTCTCTCCTTTTTCATGGAAGTTCCCGCGAATGATTTTGACGTCTAACGGCTACTCTTGTTGTAGTTATTGTACGACTGTACGTATGATTCAAGTAGCGGTGAGTCATGAGTGTATGATAAGTAAAATAATGTTAGATTTGATTATTATTTTTTATTTTTAGGAAAAGTTAGTGCGTTTTTATTAATCAACGTTCAAAGCAATTCTGTTCGAAAAGAACGTACAGGGAAACCTCACAAGGATAATGGTTTTCCCAAATCTGTTCTACACCAAACGACACTAACTTAGCGAGGTGATGAGCGGCAAAATTACCCTCGCGTCTAACATGTGATCAACTAATTAAATCGAAATGAGAACTAATACAAAGAATATCATCAAGAATTTTATCCAAATTTGAGAAGAAAGTGGAAGCAGACTCGAGGCGTGAGATAATTCCTTTGCAATCCGACTGAACAATGATGTTCTTCAACCAATATCGACGACCCAACTTTACCGCAAAACAGATGGCCATTCCTTCAGCCACGTCTGGAGGCCATCTACCTCGCAACCTTCTGCAACCAGCAAACACAACTTCCCTGCTGCATTTCGTGCTATAGCACCAAGGCCTATCCACCTCTCGGTCTGTAAAGAGGCATCGCAGTTAATCTTAATACACTCACCAATGGGTGCTGACCAGGACCTCGGGCTGCTGCTAGGCTTCTTCATCTTGCGGCCATAAATTTGAGTGGAGTACTTGTTATAATCAGCAACAAGTCGCTGGACTCGATCGGGGATGATCAAGTGAGGGGTTTCCTTAGCATTGAAGATCATATCATTCCGTCTACACCAAATCTGCTACATCAAAGCCACTCCCACTTGACACTTCTTTTTATCTAATTTGCTCCAGGAGACAAGTAAATCAGTGAAGTCAGTATCACCAACATTCAACCAAAGTTCCTCACAGGCACATTCTCGCCAGAGGTTTCTCACCGAGTGACAATAAAAAAGGGCATGTCGGGTTATCTCAGAATTGTTACACCAGGGGCAGCAGTCCTCCTCCATCACGTGACATCTCTTTAGCAAAGCCCTCACATGAAGAGAGTCCGTACACAATCATCACAAAAAGTGTCGAACCTTCGGAGTGGTCTCAAATTTCCAGATTTCGACCCAAGCTTGATGGAAATTGTCGAGATTACAAGACTTACCCAACATATAGGCGGTTTTGACGGAGTAAATCCCATCTTTGGTGAACGCCCAAGTCAAGAAATCGTCAACTACACGAGAGCTAAGAGGAATAGCCATAATGCAATTAGTGTCCCTTTCCGAAAAAATTGAAGATATCAGCCCATAATTCCACTCTTTGCTATGGTTATCAATTAAATCACAGACTTACAACACGGAATCAACCTTCTCGCTCTCTATAAAGCGCTTTCTATCAACGGCAACCCACGGGTCCTTCCATATATCAATGCTAGCACCATCCCCTACTCTCCAAATAAGACCTTCCTTGAGTAGAGCTTTTGAGCCCCATATATTCCTCCAAGAATAGCTACTAACCAATCCCAGGGACGAGTCAAGGAAGGAAGAATTGGGGTAATACTTGCTTTTCATCACCTGAGCCAAAAGAGAAGAAGGATCTTGAACTAATCTCCAAGCTTGACGACCAAGGAGAGCTTGATTAAATACTTCCATGTCACGAAATCCGAGACCTCCCAAACATTTCGGGTTGCACATGGAATCCCAACTTCTCCAATGAACGTGATTTTTACCATCTCAGTTACCCCACCAGAATTTTGCCGTGAGAGAACGAATCTCATGAAGTACACATGTGGGAATTCTGTAAACCCCCATAAGGTACGTCGGAATTGCTTGGATCACCGATTTGATGAGGACTTCTTTCCCCACCTTGGATAACAATTTCTCCTTCCACCCTTGGAGCTTCTTCCAGATTTGATTATTATTTAATTGTATTATATATGCTACAACTCTACAAGTACTTTAACGATAATACTTTTTTTTTTTACAAAGGTTTAAACAAATTACATATTAATAGAAAAGCACATTGAAAGTTGCGCTGCTTCAGCCTCTATTTAGTGAGCTCGGTGAACCCGCCTTCTATCCGCCTTATGAATGTCGCACTGTCTGAAAGAAACCCTAAGCAGCTTGATTTTGCAAATGATCCAAAGTTGAATAATGTCACCTTGACCATCGCCTCTAAGGAGAGTAACCAGATTATAAGAATCAGTAAAAATGGTGATTGACTGAATATTTGCGCCTAAAGCCCAACGAAGGCCATACAAACAAGCTAAAGCCTCCGAGTGTAACGCCGTAGTACATAACCCAAAATTACTGCCGCTTCTAATCCTCTGATTCGTCACGTCCTGATTATCCATGCACCAACCCATCCCTGCTATATTTGAATCTACAATTGTCTGTTTGAATTGAAATCATACATGGTGTAGCAGCATATTCCCCCAGTTATGCTACATAAAAGCCCGGTGGCGTTGTGCAGGTAGGAGTTAAGCAAGGAGTGTGGAAAGGTGTAATAGTAAGATCACCCTGTATAAAGAGAGTATGTGATCGAAGTACTTCCAGAACTTGCAAAAGGAGGTGAAGAATCTGAACGAAAAACCCTGTTATTCCGAAATAACCAGAGACTCCAAAGAGTACCAATAAAGATACTAATGTGGGGGCTTGAAGTCTCATCCCGACTAATGAAAAATCGATTTTAATATTGGATTCAATCTGTAAGAGAAAGGTCTCCATCGTGTTGTGAGTTGATGCAATAATGCTAATAAAAAAAAGAGGTTAAATAATATTCATTTAGTTTCAAAAAAAAAAAAATTGTTTATCATTTCATGACTGTTTTTTTTTCTAATGAATCGTATATATAAATTATGCAATTCTAGCTAAATAATAAATTAAGTCTTCAAAAAAAAAAAAAAAAAGGTTTCTTCATTTATAAATAAACTAGAGGTTACGTGTTCAAATCTTATATGTGTATTTTTTTAAATAAGTTGATGACATGCATGAAATGAGAATCGAAATGAGGAGAGTAACATATATGTCACGTATACTGATTTAGAAACGTTTTTTAATATATAGTATAGATTACTTTGTATAATTCTGAGCATTTTCTCAAGGATTATCTAATTTATAAATATAAAACTCTTCCCTCCCCCATTTCAAAATAAATTTCCTAATTTCACTAGTAAACAATAGTAAATGAGAAGCCCCAAATGGAAAGCGGTTATGGAAATCCGCTTCGAAACAAAAACCCACCAAAAAAAACATCAAACATCAAATGGCAAGTGGTTTGGGTTTGAACCGCTCCCAAAAATATAATTGGAAGCAGTTCAAACAGTGAACCGCTCCCCATTTGCTAAAAAAGCCCTAACATTTCCCACCCCTCCTTATTTCTCACGCCTCATTCTTCTTCTCTCTCCTCTCAGCTCCATTTCTCATGCCCTTCATTACACTATTTACGTACATCATTTTAACTTCAATTGCTGCATTATACATAAAACTAGTAAGGCCTGCACGATGTCCCAAGTCATTGCTTGTATTTTTATTATAGTTATTTAAAAAATTCAATATTAATGTTTAATTTGTCAATTCGATTAGACATAATTAAAGGGAGGAAACTTAAAAATTTATGGCGGGAATATTTGATGTCCATCAACGGTTACAAAATTTCAACAGTGAATTGAAGTTGAAGTTAAAATAATAATTTAGGTTTGCTTATTAATTAAATAAAAAATAATAAACAATAATATATTGAGTAGTTAATACAAAGTTGCAAAATAAGGAGCATTACGGTCAAATCAGAAAGTCACAACGTGTAGTTTAAATTATTCTATTTGGAACAATAAGTAGTAAGGGGCATTGATAGTTTGATGGTAAATTACTAAATTTTGTCTTATGTTTATTGGTTCAAATTATAACTCAATCATAAATTTGCATTGAATTTTTGTATTTAGTATTGATGAATAGGTCTTGACATGTCATTGCTTATGTGGTGCCAAATACATTAAGGGAGGGGTGACATAAGTCAATACCATGTTATCCTATTGAGTTTTAATAATATTACTAGTGTGTGGCCCGGGCGATGCCCCGGGTTGCTAGTTTATACTTGTTGGTTTCGAGTTTAAGTCTTGCTTTAAACATTTTTTAGTTGCCAAACTCAATCATTACATAATGGAAATAAATAGTATAATAAAATACCAATTAACTTATCTAAATTAACTATAATTTTGTTGGATAAAAAAACACAATTAATAAATGGCTAAGATGGTAAGACTTGTAACTTAAGAATTGTTGGTCTTGAGTTCAAGTCTTGTTATAAGCAAACCTAACACAGGTTGTGAAGGTGACATGTGGCACATATTGCTAACATGTCGAACTTAAAAAAGGTGACACGTGGAACATATTATGTAATAGGAACGCTTTTTAATATATAACTAGTGTTCGACCCGGGCGTTGCTCCGGGTGTTACTTTGAGTATTTTTTTTATTATTATAAAAGAGTTTGAAACTGTTTTATTTATTTATTATTGTCTGTAAATTATAATAATACAATTACAATAATAAATAGTTTTGAATATTTTTTGCTTTTATTTCTAATATGTATTTATATATTTATGTGCATAGATAAAACATGATTAGTTTCTAGCTTAGATGGTAATAAGTTGGTCTTCATTCAATGAGGTCTTGTATTCAAACCTCATTGTATGCATTTTTGGATAATCATGACATGAAACAAAAATATGCTAGAGATACACATGGAATGTTGAATGATGATGTGGCATTATACTATGCAAGAATGAGATACACGTGGCACATTGACATTTTTAGGAACGCTTTTTTTAATATATAACTAGTGTGTGAACCGGGTGATGCCCCAGGTTGCTAGTTTGTAATGGTTGGTTTCGAGTTTAAGTCTTGCTATAAACATTTTTTAGTTATCAAACTCAATCATTACATAATGGAAATAAATAGTATAATAAAACACCAATTAACTTATCTAAGTTAACTATACTTTTGTTGGATAAAAAAACACAATTAATAAATGGCTAAGATGGTAAGACTTGTAACTTAAGACTTATTGGTCTTGAGTTCAAGTCTTGTAATAAGCATTTTTTAGATGCAAACCTAATACATGTTGTGAAAAAAGGTGACACGTGGAACATATTCTGTTTTAGGAACGCTTTTTAATATATAAGTATAAATAATAATAATAATAATAATAATAATAATAATAATAATAATAATAATAACAACGACAACAACAATAATAATAATAATAATAATAATAATAATAATAATAATAATAATAATAATAATAATAATAATAATAATAAGTATTGATAGTATATCTATAACTTTTAAAAGTGGGAAGTTGGCAAGTTGAAATGCTCCTTAGTAATAGTGTGGTGACCTTTTTGCCCCTCAAAATATTCAATTACAGTTTTGTCCCTTCCCCTTTTTTTCACCTTTGTCTTTACCCCATTATTCACTTTTCCTCTAAGCCATATGTTTTCTGACCTTTCAGCTTTCCTCTTCTCTCCTCTCTTTTCACGTTCACAAGTTTTCTCAGCCAAAGCAAGGGTAGGTGTCGACACCTTCAGCCACGATGGCGGTGAGTTTCCTCTACTTCTTCACGTCGATCTCTCTCTTTCCTCGCTCCTCATCCTTCTCGCCTTCTTCACCATGGCCGCACTCGTAGCTCATCTTCCTCTTCTTCGGTAATTACTCGCTTTTGATTGAAACTGCAGTTTCAGCATTTTATTTTTGGATTAATATGTGTTTTTTGTGTTTTGCTAAGGATGATGATGATGCTTCCATCGGAGTTTCGATCTCTTCTGTTACGGTTAGGGCTTTTAATTGTCTTTTGATTATTTTTGGATTATTTGAATTCAATTTTGTGATTTTTGAGTGTTGCTTGGATCTGATTTTTTATTTTGTTATTTTATGAAATGTAGGATGTTGGAGGAAAATCTGAATCCTCCATTGGAGCTCCTTCTTAGCTCTCTCTTCCTTTGAAGTAGCTTTTGAGGTACGCTCATAATTTATTTAGTTTGGCTTTTAGGGTTTTGTTCTAATGGGTACTATTTCAGATCTTCAGTATTTATCTTTTACCCCAAAAAATCAAACCTACCCCCTTTGCCATCCCCTTTCCCTCTTTCCATGGCTGACGCTAGAATTTTTATTTCATTGAAGCAGTTTCGGAGCTTTCCCTGAGCCAGAAGCGGTTTCTCAAGTAAGTAGTATTTTTTTCCTTTTTTATTGTTGTAAAAGCTATTCAGTTTCACCTTTCTTTTCATCTCAAATCTTATTGATCTATTGAACAATTATGCGCAACCTTAATTAGGAAGTAAAGGATTCAAAATGCCCAGCAATGATGAGGGATTTGAAGAAATCAATGAATATGAACATTCATTTGAGAAAGTTAAACAGAGGTTAAAAACAGATCGATCTAAGGTAACCCCACAAATTTTTCTGGTTTTTTCTTTGATTATTTTCAATTTGATCGGTTTTTTGTGATTAAATCTGAAATGGGTATGTTTAATTGTTGAAGAAAGTTCCAGAAACTAGAGAGAAAACGAAGAAGATTATCTCTGAACATGCAGAAAAGATTGCCAAACAAGATGAAGAACGCAAGATTCATCAATAAGGTATTTATAAAGGTTATTTATAGATTTTGAGTTGTTTTGGCATTTAGGTTTTGGTTTTATGGTTTTGATTTATTGAATGTATGTAAGGTGTTTGTTTAAATGCGCAGCTAAAGTTTTGTGGGGTTTTTGTGATTTATTGTTTGATCTCAGGTTACTTATCTGTGTGGTGTACTTGGGTTTGGAGGATTTTGCTTTCTACTTGGGGCAAGTGAGTCTTAAATTTCTTACCAATCTGGAATTTTGGTTTTGCAGCATTTATTTTGTTTTAGGTGTAGGTTTAGGTTGTTGAAGCGTAGTACTTATTGTCTAATTTTTAATTTTCAGGGCCACAAGATGTTCCTATTGTGTATTGTTTATTTTATGTCATATTTGTTCCACTTAGACGGATTTACTATCGGTACAAGAAGTGGCATTACTATCTTTAAGAAAGGGACCTCTGAAAACAAAACATGCTTTAGAAACTAAATGGGTTGATGGGAACAAGCATTTGCTCCAAATCCTTCTTGGCTCATTTTTCTTTAAGTTCTAACATTTTGACACTATTATTCATTGTTGGGGCTGGTTAATAAAGTATGCTTAATATAAGTGAGATAAAATTTGCTTGGTAGAGGTTACATTGGTCTTGAGCTTCGAAAAATCAACAATTTAGATGTCTGCATAGTGGTTTACTTTGAGACTGATTTTTAATGATGATTGTTAATACAATTCAGAAGCGTTTGAAATCTGATAATTATCTTATGGTTTCTGTTTCTTTGAATGCAGTTTGTCGATTGATCAACGAGGAGACTATTCCCGCGGTTTTGCCCCTGGTTGTTGACTTGCTTAATCACCCTAAAGAGGCTGTTAAAAAGGTTGTTATGGATTTGCATCGGTTTTATCAGCAATCCTCGTCTTTGGTTTCACACCTCGTCTTGAATTTTCACAAGGTGAAAGGATTTCTTTCCTTTTTTCTGCATTATGTAAATTATGGGTTTTGGGTTGTGGATAATAATGTTTATTATGACTTGTAATTTTGTTGAATCATTATGGGTTTCAAACTGTGCATTGTAGTAGTAACAGTTTGGTTGGCAAGGTGTGCGTCTTACCCGAAAAGTAAGATAATCTTTAGTTCCACATTTTTATACTTTTTCTAAAAAACTGAGTATTTTTTTGCTCATTTTGGTTGATTTTTTTTTTTTTGAAGGAAAGATGGAAAGATTTTTGGTTTCAATTTCGTCGATTTATGTAATAATCTTTTGTGGAGGTTGCTTGTTTTTGTTTATTATTGGGTTAATTTTCTGGGAATCGGTTGTTTTTTTAGCATTATTGTCGAAATTCCGGTGATTGATTTGTGTTTTTTGAGTGAAAATGGCTGGTTTTAATTTGTTTTGGTTACCTAGATTTGGTTGTTGTGTAATGTTTTGTTGATGGTGGTCAACAAGTTTGTTCTTTGGTTAAATTTATGCTTATGACCTATGGGTATGATTAGTGTTTCTATGTACCAGTGTATTAATTAATTGTTTTATATTATTTCTGGGTTTGTGAACAGCTTCAAACAGATTTGTAGGTAGTTTCATGTTTTCAAGTGGTAATTTGAGGCCCGTGCTTGGGCATTTAAATTGAGTATTTGGGTTAGCCTGAACATATGATTAGCACTGAAGCTTTTCAACCCTTCCTAGAAGGTGGGGAAAGCTTACACATTGATGCTAATCACAAGCTAAACCACTTTAATTGGGTAGCTTCTTCAACAATAATTTGGAAAGTGCTTTGAGGTATCCTAAATCAACATACAACACAAAGATGGCGAAGAAGAGGAAATTTAAGTTCGACTGAAGGGTAATTGTAGGTGGCTCAATGGTGCTGAAAGTTAGTCAGATTGTTGGAGTTATACGAAATCGACTTCATCACGGTGATCATGGATACAAGCTCTGGCATGACTCAGGCAGAGCTGCACTTGTGCTTCAGCTGTTCAGCACCCCTTTTGTTGGACTTTATTATAATGTAGTCTCAGTCCTAAATTCCTAATGTATCTTATGAGATAATTGATACTGTAGCAAAATATTAATAAGGTGTATTGTATATATGAATATGATTCAGTTTTACTACAATATGAAACTTTATATGTAAGCTATAACGATGAGCACATTTGATATGTCAATATGTTGATTATTTTGGTGAATGGGAAGGACTTGAAAGATATAACAGACCAGATGGAAGAAATAATTGTCAAACATGCTTTTTAGGAGATACATTTTCTACATGGTTCTCATGTTTATCGGTTTAGTGTGTGTGGCATACCGGTATATACAACTATACAAGTACTCTATAGACCTTCCTTTGTATAATTGTATGTACTTATCATTGAAGAATGCATCTGGCATAGCTTAAATATTTCATCTACTCCGTAATAAAAACCTACCATACATTCATACCAATTAATTTAGTTGTGAATATGTATTGTGATTTGAAGAATTTTAACACGTGTCAAGGAGTGAGCAAAAAATTGGGTATTCGATCCCAAATCCTAAAATAATTAGGACTCACCAGGTGAAGAGCAATGTTTTGTTGTTTTAAGTGAAGTGATGAAGTGCTTCGAACCTTGGATCCACTCTCGTTCACTCAAAAAACAATTATTGCAGGAGTTGAAGTATATCATCAGCTTCCTCCTAGCAAAGAAATAAAAAGAATAAAAGTCCAGACACCTTTTAAAAAAGCAAGAGCTATAACCATAAAGGAAAAGGTGGGAAAAGGGCCATGTTGTCATCAATAAAAAGAAAAATCAAGATGGCAAATTCTTCACATTTTACTCTATAAATCATCGTGATTGAAGTAAGTGGCCGAAGCAGACTGCCGAAATCTTATCTTGACAAGCCGAAGTTAGCCATTGCTGAAGCTTATCATGCCGAGCCAATGATTTGTTCATCCAAAGCTAATTGTCGAAGCTCAACATCCCATGCTTAGCTAAGGAATTGCAGCTTATAGCTGAGGTAATTAATTGACCGAAGCTCAGCCGAGACAAATGTTGTTTAGCCGAACCAAATTGTATCCGAGCCGAAGGTGGTTCACCCTCGCCGAAGCTTGACTCCCAACCGAGACTTGCAACCGCCGAGCCGAAGTTGGTTCATCCGAGCCGAAAGTGGTTCCTCCAAGCTGAAGCTCAGCCGAGACGAATTTTATTTAGCCGAACCAAATTGCATTCGTGCCGAAGGTGGTTCACCCTCACCGATGTTCGAGCTCCCAACCCTCGCCAAAGCTTGAGGTTCGAGCCAAAGGTTCTGCCGAAGAAAGTTCGTCCGAGTAACAAAATAACAAATGTAGATTTTCCGTTCTAGTTTCGGGTGCTAGGGACTGCTAGAAGTAATGCTAAAAGCAATTTGTAGCTACCTAGATGCTCGTACCACAGAGTTGGAAACTGATGTCTATCCAGCTTTAGATGAGCTTCTTTCTTTGAGAAAATTTATGATATAGGTGGTGGAAATGCGATTGACTGCTTCTCCGAGGTTGAACTATTTGATCTGAATGTTGGTAAGTGGATCCCTACCAGGTCAATGGCGCAAGAGGTAATGTACATAATTATTCATCCTGCTACTATCAAGTTTTTTCTCTACCTCAAAATTTATGTTTCTATGTAAGCAATCCTTTCTGGTTCAATTACATGCAGCAAAAACCACATTTGAATATCCATTCTTGCATTTTGATTGTGTAGCTGAATATCTTGCTCGCTAGAAAATTCACTGTTACTTTTTTTAGTTTTGTTGAATTGTCTCAAAGTTCTTACTTGCTAGCTGGCGTAGTTTGTGGAATGAGTGTATCATCTGAAGGAAATGTGTCCTCGACTCTCGTGCAATTACTAATATAATATGGATCGTATTATGGAAATAATAAGTTCGTTTAGTTGGGTGGTATTTACGTCTTGCTAGAGACCAATATTGATCATTGGGTTAAACCAATGCCAACTAAATGGATCCTATGAGGTCACACGTTACAGTGTTAGGTCGAACAAGAATACCGAGTCCAAAAGTTGGGCTTAGTGAATGACTGGTCATAAGGAGTAAGATAGGAATAAGTCTTGCCTTAATTAGATAATATGATTATATATAATAAAGGGCTTGGGGAAAAATAATACTGATTTTCATCTTTCATAAAGAAACAACGTAATATTTTTCCCTTCTTCTCTCTCTACAACCGGTTAGAAGTTCTCCATAGAAAAGGAGATTAATCTCTCCCGTCCAACTAGCATTGGTGGAGGTTCGATCTACACTTGTGGACCAATATTAGAGGAGCGACAATTGGGGCTCTAATCTCCGCAAAAAAGGTAGAAGAAAGCTTGGGAATTCACGCATCAAAGGTTAATTCTAAACTATTATGTGATCCTTTATTTGTATATGTATGAGATCCTATTAGGTGCGTATGAATGAGATTCATGAAATTCCGCTTAGAGTACCTAAAACCCTACAGTGGTATCAGTTTTTCCACTTGCATATAATTTATTGGTCACAATAATATGATTATTTTGATGTGTTTTATGTTAATTTTAATTTGATTAAGGGGAGGAATTGAATTATGGATCGAATAACCCAATTAAAATATGTTTTTGATTGTTTGGAATTGTTTAAATGTAGATTTAATTGCTCAATTTTCTTCTTAACCCTAGACGAATTTTTTTAAGCCCTAAATGAATTAATTAATTTTCTGATTTTTGTTGTGTTATGAACCCTAATTTTGAAAATTAATGTGTTAATTTCATATTATTTGATTTAATTTCTCATACTTAAAAGTGTTTAGTGTGATTATATAATTCATAAAAGAGTTTTATATGAATTAGAAATCGAATTTTATGAAAAGCCCTATTTAAAATGGAGATTTTAGATTAATTTTCTGAAATTATGCATAAAGGAGTTTATGTTTAATTTAATTAGATCACCAAATTAATTTTGCAAGAGTTGTGAAATTAATTCAACTAAAAAAAAGGAGAATTAATAAATTGAGTGGGAGCAGCCACGGTTGGGTGGCAGAGCCACCTGCTGATGGGCCACGGTGGCTGCTCCGATGGTCAGGTGAGGCGGAAGGCAGTAGGAGAGGTCGAGCTAGGGGAGGGCAGTAGCATTACCGCTTGCTGCTGTCCTGGTTGGCTAGCGTGGCTGGGCACTCCGCCTGGTTGCGGGGATGGTGGAATCTACGGCTGGGCAGGGTGCTCAGTTAAGCTCCGGCGATCGAACAATCTAGGGCAGCAGGTGCGGCAATTATGGGGAGGTTGCAGTGGCTGGATGTGCAATAGTTGCACGATTCCAGTCACTGCACCTGATGGTTGGTGTGCTGGGCTGTTGCCTGGTGCGCCAGCCAGGGCTGCTGTGGCCGGGCGGCTGCCTGGCCGCGGCGGCTAGCTG